GGTGCGTCGACGGCGAGTCGGTGGGGGGCATATAGGCTCCCGGAGGAGGGTAGGAAGCCAGGTGCAGAGACAGCACGGAAATCTGCTTCTCACATGGGCCCAAGGTTTGCCAGCAAGTCGAGAGGTGGGAGAGTTGTATCAGACCCGTCCATCGACGTGGTTGGCCAAGAGACCCTGGATCCCGGTGCACATCCGCCTTACCTTTTGCATACCCACTCCGTTCCCTGTACAACCCGCTGCGGCCGCTTACGCCGCAACTCGCGACTACGCTTTGCGCGGCAAATGTCACGGCCACATTACGTGAGCTCTTCTTGCACACAACGCGAGTTAATTTTTTGATCATTTTGACAGACTAGCATCCAGCCAGTGTGCAGGAACGCTAGAAACGTGACCATGGTACTATATGCATATGGCTACGAGACACATTTCCTTTGCCAGCGGGTATATCCATACTCAAACTCCGTGACCATCGGCCCACACGACAACAACAACACCGACAAATACCAACACATTAACGCCATATTCCAGGGGTATTTCAACTCCGCTGCACATTCAATGCTGTCTGTCCGCGCTCTGGGTCTGTCATCTTGATGATCTTGACATCGGACGTTTGCGTGACATTACTCATCGACTGTGGAGTGATGAAGATGAACTGTCGCCCAATCGAGCGTCGAGCAGCCTGGATGATCATATGCATACTCCTTTCGCGGTTGACGCTGTCCATGAAGACGTCGAATTCGTCGAGACAGCGGATAGGCGAGCCCATTGCATCCCACAGGGAGAGGAGAAGACACACGGTAGAGTACGACTTCTCACCTCCCGAGAGGGTCTTTGTCTGTCTGCCGTCTCCGCTTCGCTCCATGATATCCGGTTGAACCTGATGGAATTAGCGCCTTGTGCGAGTCAAACTGATGTCCAGACTTACATGAATGTCAAGAAGAGCCTTCTTGTGGTCGATGCTCAGTGTACCTCTGAACTTGCGCTCGCTCAACAGATAGTTGAACGTGACTCGCGCCCGAACAGAGATGCCAGATCTGAATTGCTTCCACCGGTTGCGTCGGTTGTCAAGCGTAGTGATGAGTTGCTGCGCCGGATCAGTAAGAATCATTATGATACGTGTAACCAAACTTACGTTGCGTAGACTTCTGATGTCTTCAAACTCCTTCATTGCATCGTGGTGCTTCTGCTTCGCTTCAGTTGCCGCCCGCGTAAGGTCCAGCTGTGATCCACCGAGCTCCCGTTCAGCCTCTTCCCTGGTTTTCGCCATTTGAACCATTCTCCGCTGTAGGTCATCGGAAGTTGAATTAGGGGGGACAAACACACGCTCACATATGCTCGTCGCACCCTCAGTTACTTCGGCGAGGCTTTGTTGCGACTCCAAGAGCTCTTCTTGCCAGTTCTTCTTTACTTTTTCAGCTTCGGCAACCTGCTCGATGGCTTCGTTCTTTTTCTGGAGCTCTTCTTGTCGTGTGCCCTGAAGAGTTCGAACTGTCACGTGCGCCTTGTCGAGCCGGGACCGGAGATCAGCAACAAGCTTCTGTGCAGCTTCCATCTCCTGCTTGTTCGCCCTATTCTCGTCGTTGAGTCCGATCCTTTGCGTCACCGCATCTTCGTAGACATTCATGACGTTCTTCAACTCTTCTTGAGCTTCCGCAAGCTCTGACTCCCGCACTTGGATAGCTGCTTCGTCGGGAGTTGCTTTCTCCAGTTCGAACTCAAGTCTTTCCAATTCCTTGGAAGCAGTTTGGGAAGCAAGTCTCAGATGTTTCTTCTGGCGTTCGTGGTCCTGTAACTGAGCCTTGCATTTGTTGACCTCATCATGCCGCTCACTGGACTGCTGCTGCAAGGTCTCAAGTTGTCCCCTGGCCTGGGACAGATTCTTCTCTTCTAGTCTGTGTATGCTATTAGCGAATGATCTGATATTGAAGCGCTATACGCACTGGATTCGAGTATCTTTGTCCACCTGCATACGCAGAGCTCCGGTATACGGTGCGATCGGACTGTTGTTGATACCTCCGCCACTGTTGTAGACGAAGACACGACCTTTGGTTGTGTCGCCATCCGCAAAGGTAAAACACATCTTGACGTTCGTAGTAGGCGGCCCGCGGTTGAACATAAACTGAGCGCCTTCGTCCATGTTCTCAATGAGCACGGTTTGCTCGATTGACTGGTTGATGATGAGCTGATTTCGAACAAGATCGTCGTCAAGCTACGTGCCAGTTAGTGAAATACTTCTATGTCGTGGATGTAAAAGGCATGTCTACCGTAAGTGCCTTCATCCATGTGGTAAGATTTTCTGCGGGCTCATTGCCATCGGTGTTTATAGGCGTCCTCTTGCCAATGTATATCGGGGCAGACCTGACATCGTTAGCGTTGTTGATTAAGCAGAAAGATGGCGCGCACCAGCCAACCCTTTTCATAAGGGCTGATAGTATATTCTGGTCTGGCTTGCTAGTGACGACGAAGGCGTTCAGCGTTTGACCAAATTGCTTTTCAAGAATTCCACCCCAATCCTGCAAGCGCAGCTTCACATGACGGCCCATGGGTCCAACTGGTTTCTCCCGGAATCTGTGCTCGGACTCGATCGCGCGGAGTAGCTCGCTCAGCCTTTGGCGATTTTGATACCCATCGTCCCAATTACTCTGACCTCTTTGCATTCTTGCGATGGATTCCCGTATACGTGAAACTTCTTTTTGAGCGTCCTCTACTTTTCGATCTGCTTCGTTCTGCTCCTTTTGAGCTGTCGCCAGTTGGTCTTGTAGCGCTGCAAGCCCAGTATCATGGCCCTCGAATGCTAACCTGGCAGTCTCGTACTTGACCTTGGCGTCATCACGTTCTCGAATCTTTTCTGCGTGGCGGCCGTTGTCTGCTTCAGCCTGTCGTTGTCGGTACTGCGCAATCTCTGCTTCCAACTTGTGCACATTCTTTTCCCTTTCCTTCACTTCACCTTGTGCAATCCGTTCATCAGCTAGTAGCACCACGAGTCTTCCCTTGACTTCCTGGAACTTTGCTTTAGCATCAAGTGCCTTTTGCTCTGCTGGCTCCATCTCAGTCGTGAGATCGGTGACGTTTTGTTTGGCGGCTTCGTGGGCCTGATCCGCCAGCTCGTAGGCCTTTCCTGCATCTTCTACACGTTGTTGTAAGGTTTGTATGATTCTCTCGGTGTCTGCGAGTCCGTTCTCATTGTGCGCAACATCATCTTCGTGTTCACGAACCGTGGCCCATGCTGCTTGTCGAGCAAATTCCGTTTCCTTATCTCGCATCGTCTGTAAGCTTGCCGCTTTTCTGGCTTTCTTCTCCAGTGCTTCCATTTCGCGCCTTAGAGTCGCGAGGTCGGCTTCTTTGACCTCGGCTTTCGTGTTCATGACTTCCAAAGATTGTTCGATCTGCTGATAGTCTCTGTTCAAGTTCTCCAGCTGCGTGCCCTGGAGAAAGAACTTGTACTTGTCTTTTGGCGTGGAGTGGTTCAGAAACTGTCTTGCCATGTCCTGTGTCAGGACGTTCATCGGGTTGTCAATTTGCATGGAGAAGGCGTCTAGGATGTCTTCGAGCTCCGCTTTCTTGTTGGTGACGAGTTTGTTGTTCACGTTCTTGAGCTTGAAGCCTGAAGTTCCGGATCTGCTGAAGTGTCGTTCCACGATGATCGAGTCGCCGTACTGCGCGGGCTTGTAAGCGAGTGGCCCTTGGTTCTTGATCTTGACAGTCACGGAGGCATGATCTTTGCCCTCCTTGATAAGGCTTTTGAGATTTTGGGCACGATTTGTGGCGGTAGCCTTTCCGCCCAGACAGATTGTGAGGGCAGTGAGCACGGCGCTCTTTCCGCTGCCGTTATGTCCGATGATGAAGTTGATCAGAGGCCCCAGGGTTACTGTCAAATGTTCATGGCACATGAAGTTGATGCACTGGATTTCTTCGATAATCCCAGAATCCGTCGCGACGTTTTCCCTGTCTGCAGTTGCCCGATGCTCTTTCTGCACCTGTTGTGTCGCCCGTATTTCTCGTTCGCGCATGTGTTCGCCTTCGTCATCGGAGGAATCGCTGCCGCTGGCTGCATTGGAACGCTCGTCGTCCGAAGACTGATCGCTGCCCTCGGATTCAGATTGACGGGGTCGCTTGTTCTGGGCGATGTTAGCATGCGTGCTGTTGGCTTCGGGGCGTTTGACATACGCGACTGTTACTGCCTGAGCCGTTGGGATCAAGCCCATCTGTGAGAGCGCGAGAGCGCTTTCCAGACATGACTGCGACCACAAGCCAGAGGATCGACAGGCGCGGGTAGGCTGGAGGTACGGTTGCAGGTGGAGTTTGCGAGTGAGGTAATTGTGAACGCGCTCCTTCCCCGCTGAGCCGTTCAGGAACCGCGCTAGCGTCCGTGCATGCCCAGGTGGCCAGCGGATTCACCCCCACGATACCATCACGGCCAACAGCTCTCATTGATTTTGAGGGGAAGGACTCATCGAATTGAAAACCGAAAAGCGTGAGAGAAGACACAGGCGACGCTTCTGGATCGTTGTTTGATCATAGCCTGAGAAGACCTTTGACTTCACTGCGGATTTGTGCTGACACGTGACACCGCGTCGACGCGCGCGGTCTAGGAACTGCCTCAGTGTCCACGGGTAGCTACTCTCGTCCCGACCAATTCCAGGCGATTTCGCATCGCCATGGTCTTGCGACAGTCCATATTATTCGCATGTAAGACTCAAGAAGAATTTGTGCAGTCGGATTGCACTACCACGGCCTGTTGGCAGCAGTGAAAATACGACTACGGTGCACGTTGGCTAGCATCCCCGCACACCACGATTTGATTTCCCTGCATGCCATTGATCACAGTTCTGTCTTGTCTGATTGTATTTCGTCTATACTTAAAAGTCGCCAATGCCGCTTCACGTGTTCCGAAGATGGGTATATCGAGTGTTAGTACTGCGACCGCTCACTACTATGCAAGATCAAAACTCCGCTATGCAAAACGTCATCCAAATCGCGCTGTTCCAGCGCTCCAAAATCTACATGACGACCTGTTGGAGGTTAGCAAACAATTCTTGGTGCATGCCGGACGTGCAACTTACACAATCGCCCTCCTTGGGTGCCTGCCCTATGCCCATTTCATCAAATGTCTTGGGACCCTTGCCTGCCGCCGAGGAAGCCGATGAGGCTGGCTTAGGCGGTGTAGGTGTGGCCGGCTTGTTCGCTTGTACTGGCGCAGGCTTCGGAGGTGGCTGCTGCTGTTGCAACGTCTGCACCCTGTTAGGCTTGGGCATGTTGTCGTATCCGCTGGGACGTCCTGATGAGCCCGGCCGTGAGGAGGGCCGAGAGCCTTGCCCTGGCGTAGTAGTCGAGGGCCTGTCCATTCTCGAAGAGGTTCTACTCTCTTGGCCCGGTTGAACGGTAGATGGACGGGTATGCTGGCGAGGCTCGAGAGGTGCAACGTACCCGATATCGGGCAGAGTGGGCGCTTTCTTAAGTGGCGCCCCCTGTTGTTTCTGCAGCTTGTTACGTCCATCTGGTGCACTGTATCCGATATCTGGAGGCTGCGTGGTTGATGGACGGGGTTGCGCTTCCGGGCGCTGAGCACTCGGCCCTCCAGGTTGTCTGTAGCTTGCAGGTCCTCCTTGTGGCAGCGGCGCGCCACGGCCACCACTTGAAGGACGGCCGCCACGCCCTGGGCCCATATTATCTACGCTCGTGTGAGGGCGCATTGGCATCGGCCCCATATCATAACCTGGCCCGGGGTTTGGGCGCGGGCTGCCGCGGCCGTAGGGATCGTTTGGAGGGTAGACGTTGGGATTGATGTTGAACGCTGAGGACACAGGTCGAGTACTAGAAGCTCTCACCTCTGGCGCAAATCCGCCCGCGATACCTGGCCGTTGGGGGCTCAGCCGAGGAGGCCCATTGTCCATAGGATATGGCGCTGCTGTGGAAGGACGATCATAGGGTGCCGCCATGGGCGCGTTTGAGATCATTGGAGGCTGGTCAGACATGGGGTATGGCGTTGTACTATCGCCCCTGGCTGGCAGTCGGCCACCTGGGGAGCTGTCACCGTAATCGGAAGGGCTGATGTCGTTGATCGACGGCATGGGAGCGTGTGACTTCTGCAGTCTCGCCGGTCGCTGACCTCGCATGGAGCCGTGCTTTGACTTGATCATGTTGATGGCAACGTTCTCATGGTCCTTCTTCGATAGTGTCCGCGACAACTTGGAGATGCTCTCTATACGCGCAGACGCGTCTTTGTTGCCGTTCTTCTCGGCCTTGTCGTACCATTCGAGCGCTTTGTCCAGGTTGACAGGTGTGTTCATGCCGATCTCATGGAAGTACCCCATGGCGAACTCGGCAGTCGCAAGGCCGGCTGCGGCGGCACGTTGTGCGTATTGGTATGCCAACTCTTCGTTCTTGTTGAACTCTCCCTCGTGTCCACAGAGGAACCACTTGCTGATAGCCATATCTGCCTCAGGCTCACCCTGCCTAGATGCGAGCGCGTTGTAGTGCAGTGAAAGGGTCGGGTTGAACTCACAGCCTAGACTGCAAAGCTCGTACGCAGAACCCATCTTCAGCTGAGCCTTTGCAAATCCGAGGTAGGCAGCTTTCTCGATATTCTGTCTTGCACCCTTTTCGTCGTAGGGCAGAAACATTTCCGGTACGTTGATCTGAGGCAGCTCTCGCGCCTGCAGCATGCCCAGCACGTAGGCACCCTGCGGCGCATTCTCATCCGCAGTAGCCGCAGCTTGCTTGATGAGATGCACTCCCCTCGCAAAGTCTTGTGGTTGTCCGTGCTGGCCAAGTAGCGTCATCATACCAAGGCGGTAGTTGGAGGCCGAGTCGCCTTGTTCCGCACCGGCTTTGTAGTTCTGCAGGGCCTTGATCGGGTCGTTCGACTGCTCGAACTGCATGCCCATCCGGTATTCGGCCCTCGCGTATCCCTTTGCAGCCGCGCGGGAGTAGCATCTGAAGGCCTCCTTCTTGTCTGCGCGCATGCCAAACTTGCCAAACTCCAGCCACATGCCCCGCATGAAGGTCGCTTTCGGGTGGCCCTGGTCGGCCAGGAAGGTGACTACGTTCATGGCATCGAGCCGCAGCTGGTGCTCGACCTGTGGGGTTGCCGGCCTCGCGCCCTGGATCTCTGAAATGCGCTGCTCGTGCAGCTGCGCGGCGTCTACGTACTGCAGCGCGTCTTGGGCCCATGCCAGCTGCATCTCCGGGTCGTTGGAGTTGAGCACGGGCAGGCGCGCATTCTCCAAGACGGCCTCCTTCTCATCGTCGGACGGCGGCACGTTCGGGGGCTTGTTGGGGAGCTTGGGGAAGGGCGAGAAGTTGGGCGAGTCGTGGCTCTGGGCGAACTGGTTGTAGTCGTGCGACGGCTGCTGCTGGACCGACTGGGGCTGCACGTTGGGGGGCTGGCGGAAGGCAGAGGAGATGCTCGCTTGCCGGGCGGGCCATTGGTCGTTGTGGACGGGCAGCTCGTTCTGGTAGCTCGCCTGCCGCGGCGGGAAGTTGGGGTGCTGTGACTGATTGTAGCTCTGCATGGGGGACATGGCGCCGTTGGTACCACGAGGGCCGTTGGCTTCCAACTCCAGATGCGCGATGTTTTCCTGCATGTTCTCGGGCACTTCGGGCATGATCCTACCGCCAAACCTACGTCAGCCGCAATTTCAGGGCATGCACATGGCGATGGGCTAGAACGAACCGCTGAGGCGCAGGCGAGATGACTTCAGGCGAAGGAGCCGGCATATAGTAGTCATCGAAGCCTCCTGGCACAAAAGTAGCCCCCAGCTTGGGCTGGCCTTGGTGGTAGCTCATTGTCGTGGTGCGATAGGGTATGCGCTGCGGTGCTCAGATATAAGCGTCAGCCGTTGTCCAAGGGAAGCCGTCTTCGATGCACGTTGCCGCCTGGCCCCAGGGACCGTTCCGCGCAGCCCTCATCGAGGCCGCCATGCATGCCGAATGACGCGTGGAGCAGGAAATGAACGTACCTTAACTTGGTGGGGTATGGCCCTGAGTCGCCGTCGCTAAGTGCAGACTCGCCGGCAACCCTTGCGATCTGTCGGATATCGTATACGAGAGAGCGGGCGATCCTCGTAGTCGTATATGGTGCAACTATCTCGCCGGGCGCGGTTGTACAGACAGTCAGGAGTGGCGGCGGTGCAGGTTTGAGGGGGGAAAGAATAAGTCCAGGGAGAGATTCGAAACGACCGACGAGTCCGTTTGCTGAAACAGGCGCTGGAGAGTCGTGTAGTCCTAGGGTTCTGCCGTGTGTGAAAGGTGCGTTGTTTGACGTCAATGGCCGAGTGAGTTCCTCAGGCTTGCACACATGTGCACTCTAAGGGTCACAAGAACAGGAGCGAAGGATCCCGAAGGTGGTGACCGGCATCATTAACGATGTCGCCCCCCTTCCTGTCCTTCACAGTTACTATAAATGTTTCGACACACGTCTCGGAAATCAGCCTCCGAGTTCCCACCACTGCGCCATTCACTCAGAGGCTGTGCAGTGACGTTGGCGTTACTCGAACCACCACTTTCAGCCTGTGTAGACGGATCCGCGCAGGCCACATCCCGGATCTAGCGGCAGGGTAAGAAGACCGTTGCGGAGATGAATATCAAGAGGCCACGTCCTCGGGCCCAAGAATGGCTTGCGCGGCTGCGTGCATTCTTGTGGACTATCTGAGCTTCAACCACATATCTACTATCACGGCACGCGGTTTCTCACGTAGTATGAATTGCTTTCTTGCTGGGTCATTCGTAATTCAACTTCTTCGTGACAAGGTGAAGACTAGATCGCGTGGACACAGTGGCGAGGCGACTGCTGTCTACATGACTGGAAGAAAACCACAAGGCGGTAAATATCGCTTCCTGCTCGAAGCACCCGCGATGGTGAAGTATGCAAGCAAGGAACCCGGCGCGACATCTAGTGAACCATGACATCCGCACCAGGCTGTTGCTGCTGCGGGGCACCTCCTGGCTGTTGTTGGGCTGGCTTGTCACCGCTGGCAGCGCCCGCCTCACCCTCGTCCATCTCCATGTCGTCATCTCCGCCCTCCTCACCCTCTTCCTCCTCATCGTCTTCTGAGTCCTCGATGTCGATCTCCTCGCTGCCGGCCTCGGACTCAGCGTCGTCGTCAGCGGCGGGGCCTGCAGTGTCCTCGGCACCTGCCATGGCGGCATCCTCACCCTCGGCGGCGACACCTTCACCCTCAGCCTCTTCGGCCTCCTCCTCTTCCTCTTCCTCGATACCGTATTGGTCGCCGTCGGCGTTGAGGTCGGCCTCTGGCTGCTCAGGGGGGAACTCGGGGGGTGCAGACTCGTCGGAGTCCCTGAATGGGTTAGCACTGCCAGAATAGCACCAGTGTCTGTAGCTGCGTACCACTTGATGGCGAAGCGCGTGACTCGCGGCTTCTCTGCCAGGATCTGCCTCTGCACCTTCTCAATGACAGGCTTGGTAGGCGGGTCCAGTGCCAGCGCCTCGTCTGTGTACTCGTTGTTCACATAGTATCCAACACGCACAAACTCGCGCTCATCGTAGCTGCAGCTAAGCAGGATGACTGTGACACCGATGATCTCGCTGTTGGGGATGCGCGTGAGGTTGGGTGCATCGGCCTTGAACTGGAACTTGTTGACGCCAATGGGGAGGGGGCCGACGAGGACAGAGTCGAGTTCCTGATCATACTCGTTTCTGCGGGGAATTGATCAGACGTGTTCAGGAGGAGGAGCGGCAGTGGACTTACGAGGTCGCAGAGCCAACGTAGGTCAATTTCCACTCGAGATCTGAATTGTCGTTAGTCACCGTGATTTTTCTTGATGTTGAGCGCACCTGCCCTTCTGTAGTTGCTCGAGACACTCAAAGGTGATCTCAAACTCGTACGGCTCGTCGAAGCGCGCGGGGTTGTTCTTGACCTCCACACCGAGAAGCGACACGACAGACATTTTGAAAGCGGAAGTGATGAAGCGAGAATAAAGGCAGGTGAGACGGTCGGTATGGACAATGTGGTGGGATTGAGAATCGAGAGGCGTGCGTGGTGGGGACTCTGCAAAAGGCGGCAGGAAAAGGTGTTTGTTATGGAAGCGGTGAGGACGTGCGTTAGATAGATCGCGGCGGCAACGATCAGTGGATCTTTGTCCTAGGCTGTCGCGGGTCGCGTCCAACTAAAAGCGTGACCAGGCGTTACGCGTTCGCGTCAGAGCCGTGTCCTACATATCTTCGACGCCTGAAGAGAAACCGGAATAACCCACCAGGCATCGCATCGCTCCGTGCTTTGTTCCAGGCCTATCATGTACTGATGCTGCGATGATTCTCGCGTCTGAGTAGTCTTGATACGTACATAGGTAGCGAGACGGATCCAGTCGACTGCATTAGCTTCACCCCAGGGCTGCATCCAGGAACGTCGCAGCTACGGTCGAGGCTATCTTCAGCATTTGGAAAAGGGTCAGTCTCCCCCTGATTTAGTGAGCGGTTTCTCGCCAACTATGAAGCCATGCTACCAAGCCACATGTCACAATCAGGCGTTGTGTTCAGGCCAGAGGCATCTGAATGTGTCGCCATGTGCCGATATTAGTACTTGCTAGACTCCGAGGAACGAATTGTCGCGGAAAAGCCTCTGCTTCTTCTCTACAGTCATGTAAGATAGGTTTGGCCAGACAATGACTAGGGTCATGACGCTGACAAAGACTGATCCGCCGTAGTCGATGCATCACGGAAGCGCTAAAGCGGGGCGGGCACCTGGGCAGTCCTGCTAGGTCGTAAGCAAGCAGCCACCACGTTTCCTTCCAAAAGTCGTGGAGACGTCTTGAGTTCATGCAAGCAGGGCATCAACTTCATGTGCACGTCCTCTGACGAAACTTGGCACGAAACGTAGCTTGGTATCTACGTGGCTGGCGTCTTACGCCTGAACCATCCTAAACTTCCGAAGCATACCTACCTAGGTAGGTACCATTCCGGAGTCCAGCATCCCTAAAATCCCAATAAAGTGGAGACCGGGGAAGTGAGTAACGTATTGCATGCCCTGTTCGATCCTTCATGTACCGTGTCGCTAATCGCTGCGCAGAGACACCGCATCGGATCTTACGTCCGTAAGGGTTCAGGCTTTCCACTACCAAGCTTCAACAGCATCTCAGTCATGTCGAGTCCATCATTGTCGAACCAGAACGGGTCTCAAGCTTCCCCACCAGTTGAAGCCGATAAGAGGACACAGCAGCCTGCACCGCGCGTTCGCCGCAGGAATCGACTCATTACTTCTTGTCTCGAATGTCGCCGGCGGAAGTTGAAGTGCGACAAAGGCCACCCATGTACACATTGCACCAAAAACACGCGACAATGCGTTTTCATTGCCTCCGGACTTGATGCAAATGCTCAGGCAAAGCTAGCCGAGGTTAAAGAGCAGATGGGTCGTTTGGAGAGGAGCCTTGAAGAAGATGTTGCGCGCAAGACAGAAATAAACTTGAGAAATACTGCAAGCTTTTCTAGGGTTGGTACACTCCCTGGTCAGGAACAGTCAAGCGACCAAGAAGACGACGAGGACACTAAGGATCTCCGGCCGACACATCTCGTTACTGAAGATGCAGCTTACTATGAGCCTGACGACGATGTCAACGACGACATGGTCGATCTGGGCTTTCGAATGGGTAGAGTTCGCATCACAGAACGCATTGGGGGACTTGTTCGTCCAAGACTCTCAGATGAAGTGAGTCTCCACGTGTTTAGCATGTCGGATCACACTGACACCATCCTCGTAGCTTGCTACAACACTCAAAGAGTTACCAGATCGCGAAACTCCGTCTCTATCTGCCATCGAAGAAGACGCCGTAAATTGGTTAGCACCCACACAAGACTATGTCGCTCCATCTTCAAACTTTGTGTTGGCGTCCGGAATCGACCAAACCGCTCTTGAGTCACATCTGCCTGCTCGGGTCGTGGTTGATAAACTACTCTCTCAGTATTGGGTTGCGGTGCATACCATAGCCCGGACCGTACACCGCCCTTCATTCGAGCGACAGTATCAGAACTTCTGGATCAGAGTCAACATGGGCATGGAGCCTCGCGCATCTTTCCAAGCAGTGCTCTTTGCGGCTTTGCTGAACTCAGTCGTTTCAATGACCGACGACATGGTGCAAGTCGAGTTTGGTGTTGAAAAGCAAAACATGATAGACAGCTTCAGGGAAGGGACGGAGGCAGCGCTTGCGCGAGCCAACTTCCTACGCACTACAAAATTGGAGACAATCCAGGCTTTCGTGATGTACCTCGTGAGTCTACCGTCCTAAAGCGGGTACACGACAATTTACCCGTGACCGTTGACTTCACCAAACTTTGCTAATAACCTCCTATAGATTCCGCTATGTCGCAACGAAGTATCTCGCGCCCACTCTGCACTAACTGGGTCACTTATTCGTTTGGCTGAATGTATGGGTTTGCACCGGGACCCGACGACCTACAGCTCCTCGCCGGTTGAGATCCAAGTACGGCGCCTCATATGGTACCAAATATGTTTTCTGGATCTACGTACTTGCGAAGCTGTTGGCCCACGTCCTCAAATCCGGCTCGACGACTATGACACGCGCTTTCCGCTGAACATTGACGATGTTGATCTCGACCGTGCTGAGCGTGGCGAGGGCGGAATAGACGTCAGTAAAGATCGCAATCACTTTACCGACATGACTATCAGCCTCATGCGATTTGAAGGATACGAGATGCATCGCTTCCTTTGGACCGAGCGTCCAAAATTGGATCGGAAACGCGCTGACGGGAAGAGCGAAGTCACAATCACTTCGCTTCTGTCGCGTGTTCAGTCATTCCAAGCGGCTATGGAAAA